GCTGAAAATGGAAGAAGTTGGGAGAAGACTGCAGGGTCCCACGTCACCAGTCAAAAGTCCAGTTGCTGTTACGGAGGTGCCTGCTGAAATCCCCAGAAAAGGGCAGGAGGAAAGCGGCTCTGAGCAGAGTGAAGGCAGCAGAGCACAGAGTTTGAGAGGGAGCCATGAATGGTCTTTCGCCTTTGAACAGATTCTGGCATCCTTGTTAAATGAGCCAGCCTTTGTGAGATTTTTTGAGAAACCTCATGACATAAAAGTTAAAATAGAGAGTGCTAAAAATTTACAGCTTAAAGCAAGAATCAGAGTGTAATTTTCTTTACCTTTGACTCTGAATTAGCCACATGAAGCGCTTACAAATGAAGGTTGTTACTATGGAAATTGAGTCTGGTGTTTACATAGGGAATGGAGTTTGAAGAGTTAGCTTTAAATATCAGATTACTGGTATGTTATGTAAATAAAAATAGTTTGAAGCACAATCACTTTCTTGCATTGTTCCTAAGTTTCACTCCGAAAAAAGGCCTGTATAATAAACTGTCTTTACCATATTATTAAAATATGCAACATTGCTTGGAAATACCGGATGTGACCTATTGCAAACCTATCTGAATGACAGCTGTTACAAGTCTGTGCTTTCCAGGTTCATTTCTATTACTGCGATAAAAGGAGTGACTTCCAGCCATTTTCAGTTAAAAGGAGTATCAACAGTTTAGAGGTTGTCTTCCAGGTTAGTTTAATTAGTTATTTCCAAACTTGCATGTAGACTGGGATCAAAGCAGGGTCAAGATTAAGAATAGACGCTGCAGTAGGCACAAGAGCATGAGGTTAGAGGAGGAAGTTGCCCTGCTCTCAATTTCTCTGCTTGCAGATTCCAGCCCCTTGTCAGCAGTTTGCAGACTGCATTCTCCCAGCCCAAGTCTCAGTTTTCACAACAAACAGCGGGTTTCCTGCTTTTCTAGCTCAGCCTATATATGAGTTCTCTCTCCCTTTTTCATACCAGTCCTCCTACAATGCAGATGAAAAGGACAGAAGCTTGTTTGGTCATCCAGGCTGCACACGGATGCAAAGCCTCGTATAGATTTTTGAAATCAAGGGAGAGCAGCAGCTAAATCGGTCTGACCACGTGGTGGTTGTCATTCATCTTGCAAGAGGAGGCATTGTTGGCCTCTTAGGACCATGTTGATGAAATGTATCGTTTTGCTTGTGTTTGGAAAGCCCAAGTACAGACCCTCTTTAGCTGCTTCATAGTTAGCTGAATGCTGACTATTGAACAGCCCGGGTCAGATTGCACTTGCTCCTTTGCCTACCCTGAGTCCATACCTCAACCTGGTAATTATTCTTTCTTTTCTGTAGCTCTCTGGATTATTGCTGCTGTAATATTTTCTATATGCCAGGATTCATGGCAACACGAAAATCCTCTGGAATCTGACTTGAAATTTTTAATATATAAAAAACAATATAGTAAACATCCTGTGGAGGCAAGCTCTACCAGCGTTAATGCTGATAAATGTTGACCTTGAACCTGCGGTAGCTGGTGCTTGAATGGGTTTAGATATAGAGGGGAAGAGCTTGTATTGCAAGAACGTAAACCGAGACTCTGCTGAACTAGTTAAAAATGGCTTTTCCTAAAGCCTGTATGACAATCTTTCTCTGCAGAGCTGCATTATTTTTATACTGTGCGTGTTTTTTGTAAAGAAGCAGAATGGGGACGGTATCATTCACTGATGCTTTTCTTGCAATATTAATATGAATAAAGAATAAAATGAAATTCTGACTTGTGTTACAAGCACCTGGTGAAGTACCATCATTGCAATTGGTGTTGAAGTTCCCATGCTGCTTCTAAAGAATACAGTTTTGATCAGGAGCAATGAATTCATGGATTATTTCTTCTATTTTCCCCCATACTCTCAGGTATTAATGTAAAATAAAGTTTTATTGAATGAACAGTAACTCCTAAAGCTATATCAGATATGTGAGAAATGAAGCTTTTTTCAGAAGCCTTCACAAAGTAATTACTCTTGATACAATATAATACTGCTTTGTATTTTTATGCATAAAATATAAAAAACTAATTCATTCATTCATATGGGTATGTTTCTGAGGCAAAGTAGGGCAACGCTGTGTTACTTTTAAAATGTATTTACTCACTGTTTTCCTAATGTTATTTTAGAAGTACAAAGCAGATGATATAGTTGTTCTAGTCCAGGACGTACTCAGATGAGGTTTGCTCAGTGAGTAATTCTGCAAATAGCTGTGCTGAAAGTAATGGAGCCCCATGAAAACAGATGCAGCTGCCCATCCAAAAAGCTTTTGTAGTTTTATGATGAATATTGTTAATTTCAAGAAGTAGTCAAAGCTATGAACTATTTGCTGAGCAGGGTAGCATAGAGATAGGAAAGTCTTAAAACTCAATGACTTTTTTTTGGTTCAGAGCCAAGATGTTAGGGCCTAAGTACAGAAAACTGTAGCGAAGGAACCCGCAAAATACAATAGCCTTGTGACATTGCTTGTTTTGGTTATGCAAAACTGAGCACCTTTTTAAAACACCATTTTCTATTAGTTTATTTATATAGTTTATTTCAATTCAAGAGACTGTAGAGCCATTACCAATTATGTAGTAGCTTGTGTCAGCTATCATATCTATGTATAAAGAGAAATTACCAGCATATATATGATTATAAAAAAAATAGATTTAAGGTGACAAGTTAGGATGTCTAGGGGAACATGAGCTTTTATTAATTGAATGGATTTTCTGTTCAATTTGTTTCTATTTTTTTCCCCAAAAGGGTAATGTCTTGAAATCGTTCCTCTAATTAATACACCTGCAGGTTGATCCAGCAAGACTAGTGGTTGCTGGGCTGCCTCCACGGTGTGCCATAACACCGAGGGACATGTGCTTTGCTTGTGGCCAGGTAACTCTGGAGTCAGGGTCTGCAGCTCCTGGCCTTCCCTTTCTGGTGTGGAGAGAGGCCGGCTAACACATAAATGCCGGTTTAGCCGGGACTGGGGGAGCTGGAGCTCTAGGAGCTCTTTCTTCACTCCTGAAGGGTGATGCCTTGACTTAAAAGCCCTGGGGCTTTTGTCAGGGACAGCACTCCCCGTGCGATACAGCTTTTTGGCCAGCCGAAGTTCTTAGTGATGCAAAAATGAACCAGATTCCCACTGCGTTGCCTTGGGAGGCTGCGGGTGGGCGCCCTCCTGTTGCAGGAGGTCGGCTGCCCCATGTAGCTGGGAATTAAGCAGAAGTGCTAGCAAGAAGTCTGGCTGTTGCAGAGTGTCTGACCCAGAGTTACTCAGCTACTTCCTGTGGGGGGACTTTCCATTCAAATTGTAACTTGGAAGTTTTTAGAAGTGTGTTTGAACTTTCAACAGTTCATTCACGAACAGGAAGCAGCGTGGTTAAGTGAGTACTGATGTGTCATTTCACATAACTGTGCTATTTTTTTTTTTTTTGCTATAACACTTTTCATGAAGTTGTGCGCTATTCAATACGAACTAGACAGTTGTAGGTAGACGATAGATTGCTGAAACGAGTGATGCTGTTTATGCAGTTTTAAAACGGCCCTCCCTGCTGCGGTGGCGCCAGTGTGACTTGGCAGCTCTGCCACGGTTACGTGCGCTGGCACATTCTGGGTGGGTGCTAGGGTACACGGCCCAGGCCCTTCTGGGGGCCAGGCCCTTGTTACTGCTGTGCACGTAAGGCGCTTTGTGTCACACGTCACCGTTAGCCCCGGGGCTGGTGCTGCTCGGGGAGCCCGCGGCCTTCCCTGCGCTCCGGGTGAGTGGGGGCAGCCCCGGCCCCCCCGGAGCTGGCTGCTTGACCTCTTCGTGCGCCGAGGTGAGGGACTAGCTCAACTGATGGTAATAAAAATACGAGCCCTTTCCACCGTGGGGGAGAACTGATTGTAATTCAACTGGTAGCGTTTCCCGGGACATGGAAATGGTCACTGCCATGTGATTCAGAAAAAGCACTCTGTGTTTCCGTCCACTCCTAAAACAAGCCATTTGTTCATCACTTCTAATGCCTAGATAAGAATGTATTTATAGAAGAGTTTGCTACCATAGTGACTAAGCAATGGCTGTGTTGATTTTTTATTAGAAATTTCTCACCCAGTTGTACTGTACAAGGTTCGTGATTGCGATTGCAGTTGTTATCTGGACTAAAACAAAAAGAAATATTCCAATTTGTTTCCGTAACCATAGGCTATTTTGTCTTTTTTGCTATAGATCTGTCACTTTACCAAGAAGGCAACACGGTTATGTTGGCAGGTTGGCTTTTTATACAATGTATTGTATGCAGAAGTACTGTAAGACAAACGAGGTGTTAAATAAAAATGTGTTTCACTTAAGGAGAGAAAAAAAAATCTGCGTTTGCGGCACCGTTATTTCTCAGGATGGACTGTTTCAGAAGTTCCTTCAAGAGCACTGGTCACGTTAAAGCCATGTTTAGTCAGTGCTTTCCAATGCAAGGACCGAGCCAAAACCCACGCTACGCTGCCAACCTCCAGAAGTGGGGGAGAAATGAAGACGAGACCCAGAATTTGACGCCCGGGACTAGCTGAGCCTTGCACAGAGCCTGAGCTTGCTTCAGTGCTCAGAGGGCAAGTTAGCCCAGGAAGCATACCGTGACTTGTTTTTTGCATCCAAATTAAAGCATTTCCAGTGCGCAGACATGTCGATGCAGACTCTCGTGCCTTATTCTTTCTAATTTATGTGTCGCTGCACTGGCCATGGAAATCCCAGCCTCTGCCTTGAGCCCCATTCCCCCCCCCCCCGAGGAGCTGCTTGACCTCTTTGTGTGCCAAGTTCAGGGCTTCAACACACAAGGTGAGGGAGTAGCTCAACTAATAGTAATAAAAATACCCACCGTTCCCACCATAGGGGAGAACTGCTTGTAATTCAACGCGATGGCTGCTGCTCCTGTGCCTTCTGGGGAGCAAGGAGCAGCTGCTGATCCCCAGCAGACCCGTACCACCCCGGGAACAACAGCAGCACATACTGTGTAAGAGATCTTACAAGTATTATTTTATTTCTTCTTCTTTTTTTTTTTTTTTCTTAAAATACTATGTACAATCTGTTTAAAGCTTGTCAAAATGCACAGGCTCCCATTCAGTGGAGCTGTGCAGGGACATAGATTCAAGACAAGAATAAAATCTTTACTGTTCATCTTCATAAGACACTTCCTTTTTCCCATTACAAAATACTTTTAAGAATAGTAACATTTATAAATGTATCTATATTTGACATAATATAAAATAAACCAAGATTTATATTCAATTCTAGTATTTTTTTCTTATTTTCCTTTTTTTTTTTCTTTTTACATAGGGTATATACAATATATACAGTAACTTTTCACTGTGTTTGTCAAACCAGCCTGATTATACCCACCAGGCTTTAGCTTATATGTACAGATATGCTAAAAGTGCAAGACTTTATTAATTAAAGCTGCCTGTGTTTTCAGAGGTCTGGAATTGTGTGGCCTATATATACATTTTTATATAGAGATATACCTGTACATACAGATATATATTTTTTTTTAATATACATATATCTGTATATCTATCTATCTATCTATCTATATCGAGAGAGAGAGAGAGATAGTCTATAGGTGCTTGTGTACTAGAAAGCCTCAGAACATTTAAGCCTAATAGGTCGACACTGACACTGGAGCCCAACCCCAACGCAGGCTGCATCAGTCACGTTCCTGCCCTCTGCTTGTCACCACACGTCACACTTTGTTGTCCTGTAAGCACCCAGGGGTGTGTGAACCAACCCCACCACCACCCCTTAATTCCAAATGCGTCCCAAAAACACGGGTTGTAGCTAACACCGAGGTAAACAAATACTAAATCAACCTGAATACAGCGATTTATCTATCTGTATATTTTTTGAGAATGATACTATAAGGCAAAAATCCCATGGCCCTGACTCAGCCTTCCCCCAGCCTGGAGGCAGACGGAGCTGGGACCAAGCAAGCCCCAAAGAGAGCCTGGGGGATTCTGTCCTTTGGAGCACGGCTGGAAACTACAGCTCTACCCGTGTGGCAGCGCCTGGGACTGCCCGCCAGCAGCCAGGCTAGCGGCTGGGGTGGCCCTGGGAACAAGGGGGAATGCCGGGCATGTGATAAAGTGCATTTTTAGGTCTCTTGTTTCAGCAAGGCCAATCTAACATGTAAACATCCTTGCGAACCTCCTGTGCTCCTCACTGAGAGGCTGTGAGTAGGGGTGGCAGTGCCACCCCCCACCCCCCCCCACCCCCCCCCGGCTGTGGACCCCGGCACTGCCCTCTGAAGGGTCGTGTCCATGGCACAGCCCCGGCCCGCACTCCCCCAGCCTCCCACCTCCCCCCCAAAACCTTTCCCAACCCTCTTTTGTTGGAATTGCGTTCAAAGCCACCGCAATGCCAGACAGCTACTCTGCCTTGGCTACCTCCCTACCAAGCCCTGTTAAAAAAAACATCCCCCCCCCCCCCCCCCCCCCCCCAAGCCCCTAACCCCAACCACCTCTGAGAGACATTTGCTTCACATCTGCCATGGCTGGGCTCATGTACAGTGATGGCACGCTGTGGAACAGCCATGCTGGTGTGTTGGGGTGATGCAGGCCACAAATTGTGTACACTAGGGGAGCCCCAACATAAATGTGTGTGTTTACCCCACGTCCACCCCACCCCAACATTATGTGCTGAGGTTAGGGGGGAAAAAAAAAAACAAACCAACCACCAACTCCCCAAAAATACAGCAACCCCTCCTGCCCCAAACTCATGAGCATCCCTACTGTCTTGGGATGAGGAAGGGGAAACCCTAAAAGTAATAGTGCTTTAAAAAAAAATTAAAAAAAATAAAAAGATGTGCTACCTCAAAGGCTCCATGCTGGCCCTTCTTGTGGCCCCCCTCCTGTGACCCTGCAGCACAAACCACCCGGGGCACGAAAGACGCCCCTGATCTCCCCAGGACTGGGGCTCTAAGAGCCAAGGGTCGAGGCTGTTGTTATTTCAGCTCCAGACTGGACCGCAAAGGCAGGTGCTCCGCGTCCCGCTACCAGCAGCGAGGGGCCCCCAGCCCACGGCTCTGCTGCAGCCACGGTTCTGTGCAGGGGGTTGAGATGGGGGGGGCGGTTGGGGCTGTGCCCATGAGCGGCTGCGCAGCCACCCGGGTGCCGGGGGGGGGGTGTGTGTGTGTGTGTGTGTGTCTGTGTGTGGCCCCAGCCCGTGACCACCCTCACAAGGCACAAGCCCCGATATCGTAACCCCAGGGTTAAGGGCAGCGGGAAGGCCGCAGCCGAAACCGGGTCTGGGGCTGGTGGTCGTGTTTCAGCCCTGAGCTCTCCGGGAAACTCGGGCTGCCGCAACCTGTTTCAGTCAGGCTGATACAGTCAGGCTTTTCTGCCTGTGCTACCAAGCCCACACGCTCACGCCTGGCCCCAAAGCTAACGAAATCCTCCCTGCAGCTCAGAAAATGCGCGTGGCTGGTGTGAGAAAGCAAGTTAGCTAGCTAGCTATAGATCTACAGCATTAGATCTCTCTAGCTGTAGATATACGTACTGTTAGCCATACCTAATTTTTTTTTGCATGCTAAGTTTTCCACTTCCCCCCCCTTTTCTTGAACCACAGGGCTGCCTGGGGTTGCTCGTGCCAAAGGCTGCACCATCAGTAAGCACCAGCATCCAGATGCTGTGGTGGCATTACGAGCCAAGAAAGCAGCTTGCACAAGAAAAAAAAGCAAACAAATACAAAAAAATAAAAACCAACACGCTTCGCTTGGATTCAACAGAGGTTATGAACCCACCCCTAAACCTTGCCCTGACTGCCAAGGGAGCTTTGCTGCTAGAAGGACCTGGCCGTAACTAACCATTTTCCTGCAAAGCTTACAGTAATGGCCTAACCCATCTCCTATGTTTGGGCTCTAACAGTGCCCAAAGTTAGTACTCAGCTACTAACGCCTCAGAAATGTACATTTCCATTTTTCCTTTGGAAAGACACAAACAGTAGGGACACTTAACTATACACCCACTGAGGAATAAACTGTTTTTTTTCAATTCATAAATATAAACTTATAGTTAAAAAGTGGCAATTTACAAAAATACAATTTATTGCTGACCCTATGGGCTTGTAACATCACTTGTGTCATTGTGATCGTACGTTTCAGGTTCACCAAATTGAAACATGACCTAGCAAAACCACAAAGTTTGCTGTCATATGTTGTTCTATGCTTGTTTGTTTGTCTTCATGTATAGAAACATATACAACTACATCACTTGAAACAAAACAACCAAAAAAAAAGAACAAGTAAGGATTCTTTGTCTGTAACCTGAGAAATATTTGGCTACAGGGCGTAAAAACCATATAAATTTATCTGCACTTGTTAACGAAAATAAAACATGACAAATATCTTACTAGCTGCGATGTGAGCTGGTATAACAACAGTAAGAAATTCAGGCAAAAGTGGTGTTATGTAGATTAGCAGCATTATCCAATCTCCTGGAAAATAAAACATTGCGGGACTGAGGTATAGAAAAAAGAAAAAAAAAAAAAAAAATCCACAGTGGACCTACTACAGCGAAACGAGTTATGTACATGGTAATCCAACGGTGTCCTGCGGACCGGTACAGTCTGTGTGTGCTCCAAACACCGGGCTTAAATTCACAGTGACTTTCAGCATTGAAGTTCTGAATGGAAAAGGGTTTTCTCCATTGCAAAGCAATCTTCACGGTGACCTGATAACTAACCTCCCTGCAGCCAGAGAGCCGTTGCCTCCCAGTCGTACCACTGTGCTGGGCAAGGGCACGTCCAGCCGCCGGAGCAGCATCACGGACCGGCTGCGAGGAAATTCCAACCGCCGCCGTGCCCCTGGAGCCATCCGCCCGCCGCGGGGACCGTGTCCCCCCGCAGCCACCACCCCACCCACGGGGCCCGACCTCACCCGTCCCGTGCTCTGACGGTGTCGTCCTCCCCTGGGGGGGCGCCCGGGGCGCCGGGCAGCTGCAGCCCAGCTGGTCCCTGCCTCCCGGCCCCAGCCTTCAGGGCAGCTGCATCTCGGGCAGGTCCGGCAGGTTGCAGGCCTGGCCCTGCGCGCGGCGGCTCTGCTGCTGCGGGTGCAAGAAGTAGCTCAGGGGGTTCTGCTGCGGGGCGTGGGGGGGCTGGAAAATGCGCTGTGTCGGACCCCCAGGCACCGGCTCTGGACCTTGCATCTGTTGGGAGACACAAATCCGACAAGTCAGACCTGCCCCTACTGCCCATCCGCTCCCTCTCTTCTGCAGGGCTGATGCTGGGGGCTTTCACCCAGGAATGTGAGTACCAAGTCCTAAAGGCAACCCCTACCCACTGAGGGTACAAGCTGTGGACAAGCAGCTTGAGATGCTGGTGCTGTCAGCACAACAAACAATGCCTGGAGAGTATGGAGGGGAAACAGGACCCGTCTGTCCTACCAGCCCCGTGGGGATTCCAGCAGGAATCGAGACAGTCAAAAGCTACTTGGACATGAGGTAGAATCTGCAGGGCGATCAACTTCCATCTTCCATGGGAAAGATCTTCAGGCAACCAATGAAGAGGTTGTACAGCGATGTTGTCCATGTACCATGTGCCACCGCAAAGACCTCGACTTGCTGGTTCATCCCCCATTAAAGGCATTGTGGCACCCAAGCCTGGTTTTCTGTTGTCCTGGAGCTATTTATCTCCCCCAGCATCATCATTCTGCTGTCCATATTGCTAGTCCTCAGGACCTCAGTGCAGCCCATGAACACACATACCCGAAGCAGGGACAGCTCATGTCCACATTTGCTGACAACAACAATTCATTTCTTACTCTAAATCCAGTTCTGCTGCATGGCTACTTCCAGCTGTACATACTCCTCCTGCTTTCTTTTCTACCATCTTTGCCAGGAGGACCATAACTTACCCCTGCCAACCAGGCAAGTCTTGGAGAGTGTATTACTAATTTCAACAGCCCCTCTCCTTGGCAGCGTCATTGGTTTGGCATGCACTGATGAAACTGTGCTTTGAAAAACCAAAATCACCTTCTCCAGAGATTTGTGTTGTGAAACAACCATTTATTAGAAGAAAGTAGTGACGGCACCTGATAAAAAACCTTGTTATGCTAAGACAGAAAAGCAGGAGGCATATTTTCAAAAGAGCTTATCCCCTATCATATTTCACATCTACAGCAAGATTCCCACTAGAGCTCGTCTGGATGACAAGCTGTGTTTGAAAATCTGTGTAGTTCTTCTGGACACTAAGTGATAACTGAGTTCACTGAAAATTACAGCCTTGAACGAGTGCAGAGTCATCCTGGAAAGGCTGACCACTTGGGTACCTGTAGATACAACGGGCATGGAGGGCGTGCAAGTGCACTGACCAGGTTTGATTAGCCAGGTAAGCCCCATTTCTTCAAAAAAACCCAACCCAACCCCGAAGCCATCCCTGTGCCTCCTCAGAAACCTGTCCCAGCACCGTTACCTGAAGGTAGAGACGGTGCTGCTGAACCTGTTGCTGTGGCCACTGGTGGAGATGAACTGGTGTGTTCGCCTGGTGGGATGTGAAGCTGGTGTGTGGGATCATCAGAGACGGGGAGAAAACGGGCGACGGGGCTGGAGGGCGGACGGTGCTACAGGTAACTGGTTGCATCTGTATCGAGGGAGGCAAGATCTGCTGCTCTGCAACGAATCTGCCACGAGGAAGAAAATACAGCATGAGAATCCAAATCCAGACCCACCACCGGAGCGGGTCCTGGGGAGCCCAGGTGCTGCAGGAACCAGACTGGAGCAGGGTTGGAGAGCCCGGAGAAAGCAGGCCCCAAATTTCCCCCTCCCCATCAAGCATGGACTGGAACTGCAGAAAATTAAGGTTTTTAAGGCTGTACATCTCCTCCCTGACTCGATTAGGCATTTTAGGCTTTGCAAAAGCCAGAAAATGGTTAAGAAGTATTTTTAAAAGCATTTCAGTTACCATGAAGTTCTTTGTAATTAAAAAATAATCTCATTACTTCTTCTCCTAACCAGCTGAGCTTCCGTTTCTTTTAAGACTGGGACTGTTTATGTTTGTGTGATCACATACAAGTTTTTCAAAGTTATTTTCAGTGCCATAAAGTGCCCTGCTAAAACATTGCATGAAAATGAGGGCCAGAAAAGACTCACTTTCCTTGCTGCCTGCTGGCACTGCTCTGTGTGGCCTGGCCGCTGCTGCTGGCGGCGGGCATCATGGCTTGGATAGACTGATCCAGCAGCATCCTGCAGGGGAAGAAAAAAAAGAGGACGGTCATGGAAGGGAGATGTCCAAACTCCTGTCAGTCTCTAGAAACAAATCCCTGAAAATCCTCCCTGAAAGCATGCAAACCATCACCCTGAAAAAAATCTAATGAAATAGCATGCTTATGGTCACCTTGTCTGATGCACTCACACAGGTGAGCTGAAACTTGCTAAATCTTTCACGTAAGAAATACGCTTTATAGATTGTGAGATCTTTAGGGTTTATCTTGTTTCCTTGCACAATATTTTGAAATGGCTGGATCCTGTAGGCAGTGTCTATAGATACCTCACTGAAAGGTGGCTGAATAGTTTGGGGCAGTTGGATGTATTTTTTATACAATGTTTCCAGCATCGTATGAAAGGAAAATGGCTTTGCCATGGTACTTGTCCTGGACAGAGAAAAGATACTCTGGAGCTTCAGAGTAAGCAGAGACAGATTTGGGAAAGGCTGTCCCTGCTAGTTTTTCCTGTTCACTCCACCTGACAGCAGATTTCCAAAGGTTACTGGGCTACATAGAAAATTTATGGAAATATGGAGAGAAAAGTATTTCAGGCCCCTCAGGGCAGAGCACGGTGTGCACAGCACCCTGGCTGCGCGCACACTGGGCTCGCCACTAACCCAGACCTCTGCAGGAAGGAGCATCCCTACGCCCTCGCTGCGGCACCCACAGACCATCACCCCCTTAGCCCAGACGCGCCTGCCCCCCCCGCTGCCCACGTATTGTAATTTTCTGTCACTGCCATCGGGATGGTCCCAGCAGGGCGGCGTTCGTACCTGAGGCTCCTGTCCTGGCTGTAGTCAGACTGTGGTTGCCTTTCACCGCCGTCAGTCGGCACCTGTGCAGCCACTGTAATGGGATGCGTTTGCGAAAACACCATGGGGTTGTTGTAGAGGGGCACTGAAATGCTCGTCTGCCCCGGCAGACACGTTTGTTGGGCTTGGTTTCCTCTCATTAGGTGCTGCTGCTGCTGCTGCACCTGAAATGAAGACATAGATACCCACATAAGTTTTTAAAGCTCCCTACGAGAAGGCTAAAATAACTGCTTCCAATATGCAAATAGGCAAAGGAGAAGGAACAGTAGGATAATCTCGCTGAACACAGCAGTAGGAACAATAAAACTGTTCAGGACAGTCAACCCATTTGTATCTATTGCCCCTGCATGGCAGGTGCTGGGATCCCCAGAGGTAGGAGCAGACGGTCTCTTGAGAAATCAGAGTACCAGGGTAAGGGCACACAAGGCTCAAGGGAGAAGAGACCAGCTGAAGAGGAGTGCAAATCCGAAGTCACCAAAGAAAGTGTCTTATCCATCCTTTAAAGCGGTAGTTTTGGTCTTTTTTGCTTCTGGATAGCTCAATGCTTTCTGAAGGAGATGTGAGTATCTATACAGTGGATTTAGCTGTAGTGATGACAAACTTGTTTTTCAAAGCTGCCTTTCAAAACTTCTCGTGCAGAAGAAAATGAATCTTTTAAAATTATGCCTACTCCTCCATGTTATAAAGTCACGACTCTCACTGGCTACTAACGAGTGTCATGTTGCAATCGCAAACAAAAGGGAACAAGGCCCCAAACCTCCCACTCGATTCCTCTCTGGTCACCAGGACAGCCCCCAGCAGTCCCCAGGGTTTAATGCTTTTAGGCTACCTGGCTATTATTTTTACAGCTGAATGACATCATTCGCCACTGACTCTTGAAACAAATTTTGTAATGCCAGCTATGGAGTAAAACCAGCACAGAGGAGATGCGCAGGACCACGGGGAGGGGGGACATGGCAGACAAGGATTTAAAAGCCAGGAAAGGGGACGATGAACACAACGAAGCAGGCAGCGACCTGGGCAGCCGTGCCGCAGGGGTCCCTGAGGAATTGGCACGGTGACGGCAGGCGGGTGCTGCAGTAGTGCTTCGTCCCCGCCAGGCCTTGCTGTTGTGACTTCTTGGCTGTGGTCTGCCGGGGCGTCCCGGGCGGCGGCGGCCTCCTGGGGCTCGGGTGCTGCACGTTGTTAAAGACGATGGGGATCGGCTGCTGCATCAGCATCTTTAAATAAAAGAGACACGTCAGCTGTCGCAGCTCATACGGTGGCTGCACTGCCTGGGAGATGCCGTCCCAGCTCCCAGGCTGTCTCTGCCAACATAGGTAACAGTGCAGCAGCAACATCTCTAAATCCAGGGGCAAAGTGAACCATGAATAACAGAAAATCAAATGCTAGCTTGCGCCCAAACGTTCATTCAGAGCCATGGCTGCTCCAGCTCCGTTACACCTGCTGCATTTTGCAGGAATGGCACTGAGCATCCAGCAGCACTAACCAGACACCAAACCATCGAGCTTTTTGTGCAGAGGGGACTTTGGATTAGCTTGGGATTGTTTTTTTCTAAATCATGAAAATTACTGATTCAATATTTAAGCAGATACTGACACCTCTTATCCCTCGAGAGACACTACTCCCATATATGGACCAAACTACTAATTTATCCAGAGCTCATTTCTAAATGCTTTGCCACTGACAATTTTGTTACTGATCTGTGTGCTCAAAATAAAAGCAAACGGTTTGTGGGTTTGGAAACCCCGGGGACGGTGGGTACCTGCAGGTTGGAGTCCTGCACTAGCTGGAGCTGCTCCTTGATGACGTGGAGCTCTTCTTGTTGTGTCTTGATGTCAGCTTGCAGTATGCGAGTCCTCTCCTCCAGCTGCTCTTTCAGCTGATGCATCATCCCCAGCTGGGTTGGGAAATGGTAAACTGGCTGCAGAGAACAAGGAGCATGATCACAGGGTAGGACTAGTCCTGCTATTCGCATTCGTAGTGACGCCAGCTTCAGAAAAATGACTGCTTTTCAGCTTTTACCATAGAAAATATGTTGACAAAAAAATGGCAATTGCATATTTAACCAAAGTACCACTGTACTTCTAGAGCAACAGCACAACTGGCTAGCACTCAGTGCCTCACTCCAGATCTTGATCTGTTACATTTCTGTGTAGATGTAGTGTCTGTGCACACGACTCCCCTGTCCCTTTAGTGACACCCTGCTGATTTTGGACCACTTGTGTTTTGTGGCAGACACTGCATGCAAACCCTTGCCAAACCTCCAGGCTGGGCTTTCAGTTGTGCTGCTAATTGCTTCTGCCAAATGCCCGTAATCTCACCCTGGGATCCATTCTTCACACCTACTTTAGCCATCTTCAATCCCTGCATTATAGTCTAAATGTTTACTACACTGACTTCAAAGCTCTAGGAAGACAGGCCTCATAGTTATGGTTTATGACTCCCACATTTTTCTTGCATGTTTTTTTTCTTTTTCTGGCCTAACTCAAACTGTCTATGGCACACCCTTCCACTATCAGGGCAATAAAGCTCTCAAACATCATATTAGCCTGTAGTTAGTTGATAGCAATTCAGAGATGAACTTTCAGCAGCCATCAATGGTTCTGATGAGCGTAAACCTTCTTCTAAGCTATTTCCTTGGGTGTCCTACCTGCTCTGTCTCCTCACTGGAATAAGTGGTTGCAATAATTTGGTTGCAGGTAAATCTCAGTAACAGCAACAGAAAGGGCACTGAAATCTTGCCCTTACACTGGGACCAGCCAGCAAGGAGGTAAGAGCAGTGAACCAGAGCCACCGACCCTGCTGACTGGCCATACTGGTGTTTAATAAAAAAAACCCCACGTACCATCACGGTGTGCTGAGAGGGGACCGCCAGCTGAGCCACAGGATGCTGAGGGAGGTGTTCACCAGTGGTCTGAGCAGCTGCTATGGCCTAGAAATTAAAACTCTGCCTTATTGTAGGTCCACAGCACCTCTAGTGCACAGCTGCTGCGATACCAGCTCATGCTGGTGACCAACAAGTGCAGGGAATTAGACAACTCCACATGGAGATCTGAGGATGAGTCTGAAGGGAGAATTTAAGCTCCTGCCTGCCCCCTGCTAACTGCAAATCCTTGGTGTCACTATCCATTTTTGGATAAAGGCCATTTCACGTGTACAAACCCCAAGAAAAGTGGGCTCACATGTGAGAAGGCATTTGGCCTGAAGGAACAAACTGAACCCTGAAAGGAGGCAGCAGAGGAGCCTCCAGCAGCATTCCCCACAGCCCCAGGAAATCCCATGCTCAGGCCCAGCATACTTAGAGGTGGGGATCCAGCTGCTCTGAGGCATCAGAAAGGCTTTTGCTCTCTGGGACCACTGACCTGAGCGCTTCCAGCTGATGCCAGCCGCAGGGCTGCCTTCTCCGCCTGTCCTCCTGGCACCGACGGTCGGGTGGGCGTGCTGGTGTCCGTGTGTCGCATGGATGATGTGGCTGGCAAAGAGACGGTTCACTGTGATATGGCAGACCCGTGCCTGGGTGCCTTGGCTAAGCCTAAACTCCGCATACACGGATGAGCAGTGACCCAAATGATGCTAAACTGAGTCCCCAAACTGCCCTTCCATGGTCCCTCTGGCTCCTCACATGACTCACAGGGTTCTCTTCTGATGCTGACGCCTTGATTTGGCCTTCCCCCCATGGGTGTCTCTAGATAAGCTTTCTTACTCTCCCCAGGGAAGTACTGGCAGGCTGCTGTAAGGTCTCCCCGGAGCCTTCTCCCGGGTGAACCCCCCCAACTCTCTCAGCCTGTCCTCATAAAGGAGCTGCTCCAGCTCCCGATCATCTTTGTGGCCTCCTCTGGACCCGCTCAAGCAGGTCTGTGTCCTGATGTTGGGGGCCCCCGAGCTGGACCCAGCACTGCGGGGAGGTTCTCACAAGAGCAGAGCAGAGCGGGAGAATCCCCTCCCTCGACCTGCTGGCTACACTTCTCTTGATGCAGCCCAGGACACTGTTGGGTTTTTGGGCTGTAAGCACACATTGCTGGCTCATAGTCAGTTATCAATCCATTAAGACCCCCAAGTCCTCCGCAGGGCTGCTCCCAATCCACTCATTGCCCAGCCTGTACTCGTGCATGGGATTGCTGCAACCCACATTACGGCACGGTATGTCAGTCCTGGTGCTTAGTTCCCCCATCCTGCCCTGACTCAGTCACTCCCAGCCAACCCCCAGTATTTTGGGGGCTGCTCTGCCCTCCAGCCTGCTCCTCGCCCCCACGCTGGGCTGCCCCCGGCCACACTGGCACCTACACGCGGAGTCGGAGAGGGCGGTGTGCGAGGAGCGCCGGGAGCTGTGGGACGACAGCGACACTCCCTCCCGGCTGGCGTCCTGGCTGCTGCCGCACTGCCCCACGTCCAGGTAGCTGCTGCGGCTCTGCGGGGAGCGAAGCACAAGTGGCAAGATTGTCAGCAGGAGTGGACAGCGCTGGAGGTGACCTCCAACCCCCTTGACCGCTTGTTTGCAGAGAAAAGTAAGTTTGGGTGTGTGGAGGGCCAGCACTACACCATCAAACCCCAGAGCAGTATTCAGTCAGGCCCTCAGTGTTCACTCTAAAAGCCTTCAGGTACCCCTGTGCAGACAGGACCCTCAGGATCACACCCCAGGCACCCCCAGCTTTGGGGTGAAGCCATGCATTTCTGTCCCGGGACACTCGTATGACGGCAGCGAGTGGCAGCGGAGGGGACGCACCACACACCACCCCCACGCTCTGGTTTGCCACCCTCCTGCTCTCCCGCCCAGGGAGCTGCGTGCAGATGGAATTAGCTTCCTTCTGCCCGATTCCTTCAGGGATGTCACAGTTTGTTGGCCGTGGCACAGTGGGGAGCAGTGGCAGAGGTAACGAATGGAGGCGGCAGGAGGGGCTGGCTGGGGAATGGTTTTATTCATTGCAGGGATGGAGACAAACGGCTGGGCGGGACAGGGAGCAGTGGCACGGGGACATCAGCTGCAGCCCTAGGAGAACCTACGGCAAACGGCTCCTGCAGGAGACAGGTACCGGGCGACGCCGAGAGCTGCAACCCCGCTGGCTGCTCCTTGGGGAACCGTCGCTCCCAGCAGGGTGTTCTGGGCAGAAACCTGGCAGCACACCCGCCGCGGGGAACAGCCTAAGCTAGTGAATATTAACGGATTCGGAGCTGTCGCACCATAATGACAGACGCCACCTCGTAGATGGTTTACGGCAAACTGCCTTTAACTGTTGGGCCGTAGGAGACTGCTTCATCTGCAGGACGTGGGTGGCCACGATGACCGTGCCAACACCCTCCCCACACCTCCCAGGCAGCTCCCCAGCTTCCCACTCCCCTCCAGAAGATCAAGCAATGGGAGCGATCACCCTGCCTCTCCTCCAGCTGCCTTATATCGACAGACGCAGCTTAAGGTCTGCAGAAAAATATCTCAGCTGTCACATGGAAAGAGGAAAAAGACACAGAAGTGTGCTGTGGTGACAGAGAAGCAGCTGTTTGCAAGATGCTTCAAGTGCAAAATGTCTCTGGGACATCTTCCCCTACGTATCCCATAAATGGCTTCTATATAATAATGTCTGAAGAGCAATGAGGCAAATGGAATGATAATTACACAATAATCCACTTGAAATTACTTTGATTACTGGTCTTATTTGTAAAGTACCAAAAGGAAGAACTTAAAAGTAATTAAAATAACCTTGTTAATTGGGCAGGTGTTTGGGGTGCCAGACTGATTCAAACAATGGAAATTATTGCTCTGGTCACAATCCTACACTTGATGTGATCCAGTGGTGTAAACAGCACTAAAATCTGAAGACAGGTACAGCAAGCTAGCCTCTAGCTCCAGCTCTACTTTTCTGCTTCTGAACAGAGGTGGTTTAACCTATTGTTTGAGTAACAGCCTCAGAAAGATAATGAATAATAGAACAGCAGCCAGGCAACTGCTGAATTTGCAGTTATATCCTGAACCAAGACAGACAATTTAGAGCCATGCAGTGGAAAACTTCTCAGGGTCTGCTTCAGTCATAACCCAGCTGAAGGCCTGGAAGGAGATGGGAGTAAAGGAGAAGGATGAACAGGTATCTTCCTAAGATTGGCAAGCAGTTACTCAGTTTGGTTTAACACCTAGTCATTCAACTGTGAAGGGACATGTTACCTTCAGAGAAGAGGATGCCAGTTCAATTGATGACTCTTCAAGGCCAAGATCTCGCCTTCTTTCGGCTCGAACTTCCGCATAACTAAAGAAATTTAAAAATAATTTAAAATCTGATGTTTCAGTCTGGATATTGTTTACTGTATGGTAACTATCCTACCATACAGGTCGCTATGGAGTTTTCACATTGAGTCACAAGCTTTGCACAGCACACACACACACACTTCTCACACACAAGGTGCTTAGAGAACTATCATCATACAGCCTTGCAATCTCTGAACAACTGCAGGTGCTGAATATTCATAGATTAGAAACAACAGGACAGTGGCCCAGTCCCACTGCACCCAGGACTACAGAGCCTGCATGATTAACTGCACTAATCATTCCAAGCACAAATGTAGACACTCCTTTGCAAATTTTGGCCCTGGACGCCTTCAAGCAAAACTAATCTAAAAGCAAAGTGCATTTGGTTACTGAAGACAAAAGAAGTGTCTTTGTCCTCAGTAGAATTTTTGTAATAAAAGAAATTCCCATTTTCCGTAATCAGGTAGAAAAATGATCCTACAGCTTCTGCGCAGGTAAACAGCCGTATCAAATGCACATACATTTTCTAACCTGCTGATGATCAAGATTCAATTTTTTGCATGTTGTACAGTAGCTCAGTAAGACCTAAGCCAGTGCCTTGGGGAGGAGGAGGTCAGGTCCCCTTTTTCTGAGGGTGCACACAGCATCGTGCAGTGTGCTACCGCAGAGTTAGCATCCAGTGGGTGCTCTGAGTATGAACCGAGGCGCAACACGAGGTTCACAAATCCCCAGGAACGTGCCTCTAAAAGTGTGGATTTGCTTTCCTTACTATTTTTTCTCTTAAATAATAAAATATTTACAGTAAACAATATCACATGATTCACCACTGGGATAAACTGGAGTTGTTTTAAAGATTCTTTGAGCATTTGTGGATCGTGGGCACTGAAAGATTCCAGAATTTAGGGTGCTGAAATATTAATGGACCATGACCTTTGTGGGAAGCAAGAGAAGTTGCTGAACTATACTCAGTTATATTATTGTTGTCAATTAATTTTCCTGAAATCATGTTTTCACTTGTGTGTTTCAATAATATATTCTAAACCTTAACTATATGAGACAGAATTAAATTTTAACATCTACTTAGTACAATATTACGATGTTTAACAGGCACTGGAAGCACAAAGAAGAAACAAGTTCATGCACAATAAATTCAGAGCTTGAACTGAAGCTGAATTCCCCGAAGGACAACAAGAGAAACACAACTCAGAAGCAACCTCTCTGTCAAACATTTGCTTATGGTAACACTTATAGTTTGTATCGGCACAGACAGCTTTAATCACTTACACCTGTTTAGTGGTGTAAGGTGTTCTCAGTCTGTTTCAGAATACAGAGAAGAATCCAAGTTTACTAGTGTTTGTTCTCCCAGATGTTTGGCAAGAAAAAGGGGAAACAAAAAAAATTCAAATTGATTCCTGACAGTAAATAAAGATACAGTGAGCAATATGTTTACTCAAGTTAATAGAGCAAACCAGTATGCCACTATTTTTTCAAGCCCTTCAGTAAATATATTTTCACTCTTTACAAATTCTTTTTTGAGATTGACAGTGGTAATCGAGCAGATTCCCCTCCAGAAGGTGCGTATCACAGAGCATCCCACACACGCACCTCCTTCCAGCATGGGTTTGCATCTGAGCACAAGCAGCTTCCCACTAGAGGGGGATCCTGGGCTGAATTTCAGTGAGGAATAAGGCTAGTAGGACAGCAGCTAACTTCAAGTCATAAATATTTAAAGCTCTGATCAAAAGGTTTTATAGGAGATATATGATCCCATTCACACCCCTAAAGCCCTCTGATTCTAAACAGCTTTAACTCTTCCTATGGCCATGTCATTGCTAGGGATAAAAGGGGAATGTAACATGCTGATATACTTGGCCAACAGTGGCTTCCAGGCTTTTGGCTCAGTTGCCAAAAAAAAAAAAAAAGAGTAATGAAAACATATTATGTTTTTCCCCATATTCCTTGTCATAATAGCTTTACAGAGTTACACACCATCTTAGCAAGTCAACATGCACAGCAAATATTTGGCTAATACAAAACAGAATTAGAAAAAATAATGGATGAGCACATGGGACATACGTTGTGAAGTGTTTGGTGCTTATTCCTACCTAACTACCAGGTGAGTGCAAACGATGAACTCAGGTTTGGAATTCCACTGGTGATAGGTGATATAGTAGTGTGTCTGCAGCCATATCCACTGCTGGCCTTTGGTCAGGAACCGATAGTAACAGGACTTTCCTTTTCCAAACTGCATCACTGTTAAACGCAAAAGAAAGTAATACATAGCAAATAGAAATTTCATGGTTCAAAGGCAAGGAGAAAAACCCCTCATTCCCTCTCAGTACCATACAGCCCCTCTTGCATTCTGCTACTGCACTAGAATGGCTCCTGTGGCTTTATAAACATGACGGATGATACACAACCACATACTGAGCTTTTATTTGGGTTCTTTTCTGATACTGATTTTCAAGACTGCACTTGGCTATTTTGAGATTGTTCTTATAACCAATAACTGGCATAACTATATAACTAGCTATATTCTTCTAACTTATTCATGGGCTCTTCTGAAATAAGCATAAATAACATAAATTAAACAAAGTATGGGCCTTTCACAAGTACATGAGAATGCATTTCAAAGACTGGGGGCTTGAAGTCAGGTTCCTAATAATGGCACAAAACAGTAAGATAGTGACGTTCTAGCAGTTTAAGTGAGAGTTTTCTTCTGAGAGATAACCAGAAAAATCTCAAGTGGTGTAATACAACTGGAAAATAATGAGGGGAACTACATTAAATAACCACATTAATTGTTCGTAGACTGCTGGAAGTACAAAAAGAAACATGCTCACTTAAAATACCTATAATTAATGCAAAGTAAAACACAAACGTGGTTTAAGCAAACCCATTTCACTTCACAGTAGGCAAGGTGCCTGCCCAGAGTGGTCAACCTGACGAACGGGAACTTATCAAACCACACCAACCCACGTATTTTTACTCACCTGCACACCTCTACTTTGTTAAATATCAGGACTAGCTTCTTTATCAATCCCATTAACAGCGCTGGGCTTTAGATGAAGCACTTAGGAAAGGTTTTCTGGCTAACATGTGGTGCTGGGGATCGCTCGGCAACTAGTCCTGGCAGAGATTTCCTGAAGCAACTTCTCTAAGTCGCTTTGCCAGCACCTTATTTTGTCCCCCTGCACAGTAAGATCAAAAGATCCTTTCCTTCATGTGTGTTGTGCAAAGACTCCCTTAATATATAAGAGATCTGTGGCTAGTAGAGATGTAGAACATAAATCACTAAATAGATTCTCTGCTGAATGATCTGACCCCATTCCCAATATAGTTAGCATCTATGCCAAACTGCACACATGTATTACCAAAAGGACATCATCTGGTTAAGTAGCTCACTTCTGTCTGAATGGTCTTTTAAGCAAAAAGCACTAGTAAATACAGTACTTGAAAGCAATTAAAATATTCCTTTAATACTCCCATCTACACGCTTGCTGCACCTGACACAACTTGTGTCTATCCCCTTTCACAGCTTCCTTCGTGTGCTCAGCCGGGCCACCCGTGTCCCCAGCACCTGTTTTGTATCAGCACTTTGCCTTGACAGGGCAGAAAAGCCGGCAGGGAAGTGGAGTGGGGAAACTTCATGCTCAGAGAAGTCATTTTCTCCATTCTCTACTTGGTCCCTCAGCATCTTACACGTCTAAGTGGTAGAGGGTACGTGGTTTGCAACTCAGAGACAAAGCAGCTTGTCTAGCTCCAGTGTGCTGGGGGCCTATGGAGTTTCTTGGTGTCCCTCCATCGCACTGCTCTCCATCTCAATTACAGCATCCTACTTTCTCCAGTCTCTGGGGTGTTCTCATTTCTTTTTGACAAAACACTCTCCTTTCAAACGGAGATAGCAGAGACACAAACAGACAGAGAGTTTGCTCAACAGGAAACCTATAAGTAATATTTCCTGGCAAAGTATCTGATTACCTAGATGCACTTTACAAAGTGCATAGTTACTTTTCATTACAGTGCTTGGCAATGCAAACCAGCTGGAGGACAGACCTAATTCTGGCTCAATATCTCAGCTTGAAGCACATGTAATAAAATGGAAAAACAGAGTCTCAGGGATAAAGCATCTCACATGCTCATCTGGTAGGAACAGCACACTGATTAACAGTAGACTATGTCTGCTGCCACCTTTTGCCCTTCCTCACATCAGCTCCAGCCTTCAGCAAGACATGGCTCTTCAGCAGCTGGCTGTACAGCCACAGTGCTCGGGCTAAGCGCTCCTGATGACCTGGCTTCTCCTGGGCTCTTGCAGGTTACAGTATCTCACCTTGCATGAAGATGAACTTCATGGACATTCTCTGGTGTTCGTACATCAGCCCGAACTGAACTTTTCTGCTTTACTTTCAGGACAACTCAAATACAGCCATCTTCACACACAGGGAATATGCATTCAGTACTTTTGTATTTGAAAAAAAAGAGTCTGAATCTCCAGAAGCATTTTACTAACTGTAAGTGAGGTTCACAACATCTAATTGCACAGGCAGGCAATCTAAATGCTGCTTTCAGAAGGCATTTTGGTGAGCTGAGCCTCCTGGCTGACTCTGGAGCCCAGGGGAACAGCAAGACTCCATGAACTGTGACAATCAACAAAAATCCCAGGGGTTGGGGCTGCCCTCACAACCTGGGGGCAGAGGGTGGAAAGTTCTGATGTCCCATTTATTAATCTCGTTTCACTCTCAGAGAACCTGTGCTCAGACAGGGTATCTGCCAATTTGGGAAACCTGCACAAAGAGTTCTTGATCTGAGTAAATTCTGCAGAGATTTAACTTCCCAGGTAAGCGTCAGCTATGACGGTCTGTCTTGGGAAGAGAGAATTCCCTCATGCCCCAGATACATATGCCTTTTGCGATGACAGTAAAAGGTTTTGCATGAGTGACATATAAGATCAAAGACAGGCATGCTGCAGAGGGAGAGGAACTTACAGTGTTCATGGCACCTAGCAAGAAGCTCCAGGTCATCTGCGTGGTAGTAATCATACCCTGACGTTCCCAGAACCTCAAAGGGTAAATATCCTATAATAGGTGGAGCCCTAGAAGAGAAGCAAAGGGCAGGGAGTGAGCATAAAATCTGATACTTCGACATTCTGGCAGATACAATGCAATATTAGCAACCAAAAACATCTCATACATTCACTTGGCAGGGAAATCAGGAGTGGATTTTCATATACCAAACGATGGATTTTCATATACAAGCAAAAAAAAACCAGCAAGGGAGAGGTAAAAATTGAGAAAATGAAAAGGAGTGTGTTTACTGTTTCATAGCCTATTCATTATGTGGGTGTAGAGAAAGGCATGTACCTATGCAAGTGACTCAATTCATGCTTGTGAGACACACAGCTTGAGAAATGCTATGGCTGTTCATGTGCATAATAACTTGGAGCTTGAGTAAAATTATCCAGTAGGTTGGATGTAAATGTCATCTGAGTAGTAACTGTAGAAGAAACAGTAAGTGGGAAGCTGCAGTGTGTCAGGACCAGCTTGGGTAAAAGAAAAAGTAAATGTTCCCATGGAAAATCTTGGGAAATTATAACCAGCAAAAATGTTTCTATGCTGGTAGTAAAGATAAGCATATGCATGTGGCTGATTTTAAGGACTGTTACTTCTATGGAAAGTAGACAAGGAAGCAAGGAAATATTTAGACTGGTACATTGCAATGACTTACCTGACTATTCTGTCAATTCTATACTTTCCATTTGCTAGTCAAAATATGAGATTTTTTTTTTTTTAAGCAGGTGTCCTAACAACACTGAGCTTATGCACAGCCTTCACTGGAGCCTGCTAGTTTATGATTATGAAATAACACTGAAATGTGTGGAGAAAACCTCTACTCCTTATATCAGCATGCCACCTTCTGTGCCCCAGTGCTCAAGTACACTCCTGCTTGCACCAATTCAAGCACTGCCCATACTTTGTGAGACAGGACTTGTGCTAATTTGGCTCCACCTATTTGTTTTGGCTGCTGGATGTGCTGACAGCATGAGGCTCACCTGCCAAGTTCAGCATGTTCCTCAGGAATAAGGCTGCAGTGTGTTAGCGAAACGGTTAATGTTTCAAAACAAGGGCAGTCTGAAGGTGTCACTGCCTATCAAACATGCCTCTCCCACTGCCTTTGTCTTGGGGTGTTGAGTGGTCCTCTTAAGGAAAGTGAATGCCATAAAGTACCCAAGAATATGAGCAAGATATTGTTTAAGTGTAAGTACGTTTGGGTTTGGATGGATCAATCCCAAGTCTTCTGGATATTAATGTGGGAAATTCTCCTGTCCTGGCTGAGTGACCCAGCTCCACATTTGTACTCTTGAGAGACATGGTGGGCATATATTATTCAATTAAAGAGAGCCAAGACAGGTCTATAGCCTCTTTCTTCCCCACAACCACGAGCAGTCTGGCACTAGGTGGGAAACAGGGGAAAAGGAAGAATAGCCAGAGATCTGCTCAGTAGCAGCCCCGGGAGGATCAAGGTCTGAGCAGGAGCTCCCAAGTCCCAGCACAACGGGTTGGTTGGAAGAGCCAGTCCTCCACGCTTGCTGATGGCAAATCTCTTGAAACAGAGTGTGCTTAGTACACAGTGGTCTCCACCACAATACGGCTTTATTTATTCAAATAACTTTTCATAGAGCACTGTGTTCCTTTTCCTCATGTGACCCAGATTTCTGTTAACGATGATAATATGTGTATTTATTAAAGTGTCCTTTCTTGCTGTCTCTTTGGCAGAACGCATCAGTGTCTCTCCTATCTTTAATGACATCCTTATATTGAAGACAATAATGTCTTTCAGATGCACATCAGATAAAACTTTTAAGCTGATCAGGAAAGTATTATGCTTTCCTGACTTCTGCCAGAATTCTTTAAATGAGAAAGCAACCTCAAACTGCTCCTCATCTGTCATTTGACAAGGACCTGCCCCACTTGTGGAACAATTTTAAAGGGTCTTGTTAGCTTAAGTTCCAGCCTTGAGGCCTACAACTTGCTGTGAAAATGGAAATGCACAGTCTGCAGAGAGCCTTTCAAGTGCAGTCTTTTAATAAATGAAGGGAAAATAAGGGGAGGACCACAGTGCAGAAGAGAAATAGATCATTATCCTAGCTGACAGGTTTTCTTTTACACATATTTACATGTAGACCCAGAATACAGATTTTTCCTAGTTTTCTAATGTTTATCCAGATCTATGGAGTGCTTTCTACATTATCTATCTTTATTCCAATTTATGTTCCCGTCATGATAGCAAAGGTCCTGATTCCAACTCACGCTGGGTACACCCTCTGCCCCTACTGACAGCACACCTCAGCGTCAGGCAGCGTGAGTTGACGCAGATAAGCAAGGAACAGCAAAATATCCAACAACGTGTCACACCATCCTGTGGACTATACTGGAGGGAGGTTTGAATCAGTGATTCCATGATACAAGCCACATGATCCCTTGCTCACTCCTGGGTCTGGGCTCACCACGCACACCCAGGGCTGTTGCAAACTCTGCCTCAGCATCTGCATCTGCTTAATTTACTCTCAGTAACAACAGTTTCCTCACCGGGGATATCAGTGGGACCAGAGTGGCTGCAAACACCTGGTGCAGGGAGACTCCTCTCTGTGTCATAACCCAGATTCATCAAAAGTCTCTGAGAGGTTTCAAAGCAGCTCCTGCTCGCTTTATTCACAGGAGCTGCTGGGACACAGCCCTCTGCAAAACCAGCTCACTTCAGACAGTGAAGTAAGGGGCTTAGGGCTCTTTTATGAATCTTAACATTAATCACTTGATTCTGAAAATGTGCATTATTGGACAGGCTAATAAAAGTTTAACAAGGTCACTTCAGCAAGATTTTGACAACATGACTAATAAGCTGACAGTACCAAACCACACAGCATTAACTGTAGGGCTGTCGCAGGGTCAGTTCTTCCATGCTTCAAGGTATGATGTCTGAGGTACTCATCTTGTTTACTATATAAATGCAAATTATTATTATTCTGTATTTGCTCTCGCTCTCTCGCTTTAAATGTACAGATGATATTTAGGTGTTTTTCCTCACAAATATTTTTCTTCCCCTACAGCCTTATTTACTAGTCTTCTATTTCTAGTAATAACTACCTTTGCACAGCTTGCAAAGGGAGGGATAATGGAAAAGGTAGGATTTTGCAATGTGCTTATGCATACGTGTCAAATACAGAGAAGTAAAAGAGTAAACAAAAACCTTCAGCTTCTTTTGAAAGAAATGAGTCCTATATCAATCAGCTTAATAAAGTGGTTCCAGTCTGTTTCAGTCACCAAGCTGAATCCTAGCCCACCATATGGCACTGTCAAAAACAAATCTGCCAATAAATAATCTAATTCACTGCTTTTTCTTTTATTTTTATAAATTCCATCATTTCTTAAGGTGAAATCAAAAGTTTGACACAGCAAAAGATTTAGAAGGATGCCTGGAAGCTGTAGCTGGAAAACAGAGGAACTAAACCAAGACAGAGAACAAAATCCATACTGCTCAGTTTTAATGACTTAATATCTTGGTGAAGTCAGACATTTTTCTAGACAATTTCCCACCATTTTATATCATTTTTTACCTGCCTAAAATATGGAAAAGAGCAAAGCATTTAAGGATGCCTAATAAGTTCAGAGTATTATTACTTACTCTGTTGTATTTAATTAGAGATATTCTACTTGGGATCTCGGGCAATAACTACACAAAGTTTTCTATTTTTAAACTACAGTTTGCTTATTCTTCAGTGACCAAAACCAAATCTCTTACCTGTGGTCCAAGAATAAAAACTTCCATTCCAAACTATGCCTCGATGTAAATTCTTCACATGGCTCTTCAACATTGCAGAGCTCCTGCAAAACAGTTGGCACATTCAGACACTTAATTCTATGAAATGACAAAAGGGGCCCTCTGTCAAGATCAGGGATACATCTTCTTGGCATAATAAACCCTAGTAAAATACAGTGCTTTTAAAGCATTTGACTTATTTTCCTCTAAGGAATGTGTAACCCTTGTTTTATAGCTGCATAAACTGATGAAAAGTGCCTGAATAATTTACCCTTGGCTGAATTTCAGAGCTAGGATAACTAGTCCAAGGGCCTCATCTTGCAGTTTGTAGGCAAAATTCCCCAGCTTTTTTGTAAGTATTTGTGTCTGAATACGGATGACAGCACCAGGTCCAGCCTCAAACCAAGCTGGCTAATGTTCTTTTGAGCAAGAAGCACCTACAGTCGTTACCGCTGTCATCGCTGCCCCGTGCTACAGAACACACAGAGCAGCAGAAAGAGTCCATGAAACATGATGTTCGCAGTGTTTCATGATGCAGGTGGCCTTCTTACACAGAGGAGCAGCGGGATGTATGCCTTCAAAGGCTGAAACTTTTCAAGCAGTTTAGCTGGTCACCTTGTATTGGTGCTTCCTGGGCTGACTGCTCGGAGACACCCCATCACACGGCTGCCTCTTCCCAAAAGCAATTCCTGCTTTATATCTTGTCATTCCAACGCATATTAAACTGTTTTTATCTCAACCCGCGAGTCTCCCTTTGCCCCTCCGATTCCCTCCCCGTTCCCAAGTGGGGGGAAGGTGGGTGAGCGGCTGCGGGGCGTTTAGCTGCTGACCAGGCTCAAACAATGACACCCCACACAAAAGGGAAGATGCAGTTGTAGAGCTCTCACCTTTAAGAACTGTGGTGTGACAAGACGAACAGTTGCTACAAGGCAAATCTGCTCCTCCGTGGCTGACCTGAAAGCTCGTGCAATAGCTGACTCAAAGCCATTACAGGAGGGTGTAGGCACTAGACACAACCAGACAATTTATTTAAGAAGAGGAAGGAGAGCTTTCTTTGCATGTTAAGACAGGTACAATGACTGATGAAACCCAAGCAACAAACTCCTCCTATTCACAAGGTGATGCCACACTGATACATGCTGATGTTATTTAAAGCATGACCCTTTAGGCTCCAAGTTACACATCTGTAACCGCCTAACCCTGGCTTGTAGGGAAGCTTCATAAGACAGCTCTGAGCAGCTGACAGTGTGCAGCTAGTCCCCTTGTCAGCCTTTCCCCAGCTCAATATTCACAAGATTCAAGATTTTACAGGTTTCTCAAACTATTTATCTTTAAAAAGTGTCATTTGATTGCCACAAGTGAAACAGAACAGCATATTTTACTGGTTATTTGAATAAGTAGGGTGCTTTACAATTGGCAGGAGGTCAAAAGGAGGTAGGATCAGTCTGGTATCACTTCTTTAAACAGAGCATGCAGAAGAGTGCACTCTTCTGACCAACAGTCCCCCACACACACTTTTATATGAAAAAAAAAAATCTCCAACATACCCACAGTTCATTCCACCCCTACTGATTCCGGTGCATTTTCAGCTGAAACAAGGCCTTTAGGAGGCTACAGATCAACACACAACTTAAAGGAGAGAGGTAGAGGTAGGGTGGAGCAGTAACTTACCATGAGTAAAATATTTAAAATCCACTACAAATTTCACATATTCATACATCAGGGGTTCATTTGGATCTAAGCTGCCTCTTGCTAAATGGCAGCAAAACTCTATTTGTTTTTCAGCTGAAATGAGAGAAAGAGAGGCAGGCATACACAATGTTACTAGAAGTCTGCACTTTAGCACACTCCATATATTGAATCTATCTAGGTGTTTATACTAACTCTACTGTTGTGGTACCTGAGCACACTCTGCTGGGATGCCCTTGATACCCGTAAGTAAATATATAACTACTAGGAGCAATAAACAGCTGGTTCTGCTTAAGGAAACATATTCTCACCCTTTCTCCCATGGTTTTATAGCCACCCTGCTACACTGGGCGTGAAGCCCTAGCAATATTGGTCAGCAGTATTTTCCCCTGGCCTCGTGCATGCACAATTTCATGCAAAGCTGTTAAGTAATATTGCAGTGCTGTGTTCTGGCATTGCTCAGTAAGACGCAGATCCAAAGGGCACTGAAGTCACCCTAAGCCTTTCCATTAATGGTGGAAGGCACTGTGCCAAGCTCTTAATCAGTTCTCTGCCCGAGGTCTGAACTCCATGGATTAGACCATGCGGACTTCAGCCGGAGGGAAAGCAACCCCAGGGCAGAGCACCAGCACGAGGGCTGCCCAGTTCTGGCTGATGCTTACGGGGCAGCAGAGCGGGGAGGCTACAGCTGCCCAGCCATGGCAAACCCACTGGGAAGGGGGGTTCCAACACAGGCTTGGTGAAACGTGGATGTTAGGAAGATGCCACTGGCCACTCTGGTGCTGGGGTCGTTTTCTGGAGGTGGGACAGCAGCCAGCAGCAGAGATACAGATGGACTGTTCAGATAGGAAGGCTGTTGCTTAAATTACACGTAGCGTTTCTCAGGTGTCCTGAGACATGCAAGCTTCCTAAGGAACAAAAACTCTGCCAAAACCCTTTGGGATTTCTCCTACCCTTCCTTTTCCTTCCCCCAAGCACCCCACTTCTTTCACGGATCAGTCCAGCATTCTGCCCTGTGAAAATTATCTAATGAGGGTGGCTTCACTGTTCTATGATGCAAAGCAGACAGTAAAACAAAGACTGTCCAAATCAAAGACCAAGTACTGGGAGCACATAGGAACATTACATGATGTGCTGAATTAAAAACCAGAAATACTAACTGTGGCAAAGCAGAAGTGGCAGACAGGAGAATTAAACAGCTGGAGAGCCCTGCGTGGGCTCCCCTGGGAGCTGTTCGCCTTTGGCAAATTTCCCTGACCAACAGACAAGAGCAGAGCTTACCGTTTAGAAAATCAGCTGCAACAGGATCTGTCATGAGCACATGTGGAGAAAGGAGCTTGTACACCTCACTCTGCTCCCGCTCAGGCAGAAAGTTTAATATATTTTGGTCCACCAAATCTGACTGATACAAAAGAATGCTTTGTCATGTTCAGCAGTACAGCCTGACACAACCACACGCCTTTTCATCCTGCAGCAGAGCACAGATGCTGGCAGTCTAGCATGGATGCTTAAGACAAGGAAGCCCAGTCAATCTGCAGATGGATCTAGAGCAGAATATAACCCTTAGGTTATTTAACCCCGGGGTTGCTATCTATTTGCAAAAGGTTGAATGGGTGCCAGACGCAGAGGTTGCCCTTCAGTTCAGCCAGATGCAAGCTGGAGAAGAATCCCTGGTACCACAGGAATACAACACAATGAGAAATATCATATCAGAATGAAAATTTTAAACATTTCCCTTTGGAACTACAAGATAGAAGTGGGAGAGCTCCTACTCACATCCTCCATTTGTCTTCTAGGCTGAACATCTGGCAAAATCAGATCAACCTGCAAGTATTTCAGTGCTGATAAACCCACACATCCTGACTACAGGGGTTCTACCAAAATGTCAGCATATATTTGTTTCTTTGCACATCAGGAGGTTTGGCCAGGTTAACTGCGTGCTCAAATTTTCCCTCACATAGTATCACTGGTGCCTCATGCTTGGCACCAGATAAAAACAAAAAATGTTTTTGAGGAGACAGCAGAAACTTCTGTACCCAACAGCTAACTGATGTCTAAAGATTCTCGCAGAAAACTCTGAGGCCACATATTTGTTACTGAAGACCAGGGGCTCAAAGTAGAAAAAAACACGATCACATTAAAAGAGCATACATTCAGTCCTCAAATAATCTTTAAATTATCTGAAGAGAGCTTCAGCATGCACAGATTTCACAAGCATGAGATTTTCCATATACCTGGTGGGATAAACACCAACCAGACATCAGCCAAGTGTGAGCTACGAGTACAGTGATTTTCACAGTTTTTTTTTCCTTTAGCTAACTTGCAGACCCTGAGAGAGAATGTGTTATTCACAGGAGCTTAAGGAACTCCCTCAGAGTTGGTTGGTTTATCCCCCACCCACAGTCAATTGCCTCTTTGGTTGGACAAAACCAAGCCCCCGCCCTGCAGTGATGGATGGGCTTGTGCTAAGGCAGGGGAATGATTCTTCAACATATTGCATTGTCAGAACTTACCGGTAAGTGTCCAAGCAGAGATGAAACACTATCAGATACATAAATAATAATCCCATCAGTGGTAAGAGCAATGAGAAAGCCATCTAGTGCCTAATGATAAAAAGGCAGGCAAAAAAAAAAAAAAAGAAAAAAATAAAAAGAACTGTGCAAGGGAACAACTTAAAATATAATAGGCTAATTTATTCTTTGGTGATGCTTCTAACAGCCTAAAACTAACATGAATCAATTATGGAACTGACAGTTCAATGCAGAAAAATAAAAATTACACAACCTGTCTAATTCAACATTCTTCCATTCTTCTTATATTCTTACTTGCTCATTAATATTAAATTGACTTGTAGTTTTCACCCAGGGAGTATTTATTTAACATGAAGCAAGACAGTGGTGGTTAGAATTTCTACACCCACACAATCCTAGTAATTTCAGTCACTTCATTATGTGTTCTGAATTACACAATAGTTAACCAATTCGGTGCGTAAGGAGATGCTAGATACCATGATGGCAAACCCAGCATTGTGGATGGATGGATGGACAGATAAGCAGAGACAGAAAAGTTATACAATGCTGTATTTATGGACAATATGGACAAGATCTAAAGCCTTACTTATTTTGCTGAAAGCACTCATTTGTTTGGCTAGTGACACAATTTTAAAGTTTTTTTGTTGTTGTTTTCCCTTTCTTACTCACAATGGTTTCTGTCCTGGAGTTGAAGATCTCTGTCCCTTTTAAATTACTGCATGTGCTTTCATCTTTGGGTGTTCTCCTTATTCTTCATATCTTCTTGCACCATTGACCCAGTCTCTGTCCCTATTCTTTTCTAACATTTACCAAGATCTAGGAGTTTTAACCTCTGGTCAGCACCGTGCACAAAGTCAACTCTTCTAAAGACACTATTAGGCTGCTCTGCAGCTTAGCCACAGGGAGCCAAAGATGCAGCATTCACGGTCTTCCCTACTTCACTGTCATACTCTGCTTTTACTGAAAATAATCCCTCTCTGGAAAAAAACACTGGTTTTAAGTAAACTGGTCAACTGTCTAACATAGCCCAGCAAGCCAACAGTTATTAAAGGGCACTCTCTCTCCCCCGCCACTTCTAAGGGGGGAATTTGTTTTGATTCAGCTGGAACAAACTAGCTTGTTTGGTGAGAGAAATTCCCAGAAAGAATGAACAGACTTTTCCAGGGAGGTGAGTCATGACATCCTGATGAAAAGGAATAACTAAGACACTGCAGCACCTCCCAGCTCAGCCCAGCATACACCCTTATTTTGGTGAGGCGAAGAGCAACAGCTGCCCACGCAGGGTGGGAGATGTCCTTGCCAGAGGAACATGCAGCACAAACCCAAAGCAGCATCCTTAAGAAAGGAAAAATGTAGGTTCTTGAGGTGTTTCTAGATCAGCTAAGCATTTTAGAGGTGAAAGTATCAGAGCTGCTCTCCTGAATGCACTTAAAGGCAATCCAAGCAAAAGCTACAGCATTCACATCACAAGTACAGCACCGCACAGCTAGCAGCAGCAAAGGCAGCAAAGGCAGCAAAGTAAATGCTGCCTGGCTAACGGGATGTGGGAGGAAGAGAGCTGCTCTGCTTTTTTCAGGTCCTTTCAAGCTTTTGCTAAAACCGCTAGCTCTAGCGGCTCTTCTGAAAAGGGCATTTCTCTTTTTCCTCTCTCACCAGGCCAAATTGGTCTTCATTCCTAAATGAAAAGCTGTTTATCTTTAAACAGAAGCAATCATATTTTTAATTCTGTGTCTACGAAGCATTTAGCACAATATTGGTCTCTGTCAGGTTTGTATTATATGAGCCAGCAGAGTAGAAATCATTAACACTGGAACCTACAGGTTTTCACCCATATACTGTAAATCTCTGAACTACTCCACTGAACTGATTACTTCTCACTAATCTATGTAGCTTTAATTTCTTCTTACCTCTAACATCAACTGGGTGAACTCCTCGTTGCTAAGAAATGAAGGCTTCCAGTCTTGTCTAATTTCACAGGCTTCTGTCTGTGCTGTGATTTCTTAAAGAGAAAACATCAAAAAAGCACCATGACTCATGCTAGTTGGATTTTTTTTTTTCATTTTCAAGTAACACTAGATTTCTTTTAAGAGGCTTTCAGAGGAATCATCCTCAGATCATTCTTCACACAAAGCCTTCCTGTATGCAACAGTCGTTTTTCATGCCATGACGATAGAAATGCATTACAAATCAAGAAAAGGAGACATTTTGGGTGGTCTGAAGAAATCCTTCAAAAATTAAGGTCAGTGGGCTTACTTCGGAGTAGCTGAGCATCACCCTGAGCAGAAGGTGTCTGCAACTCTGGAGCTGTTTCAGGAAGGCTTACAGGAGTGCCCAGGCAGCACGACAGGCCACACCCAGCCATCTTCTACCCCAGGAGACCTGGGAACAGGGCACAGAAACCCTTTTCCCTTGGTTTTTGTAGTGCCTGTTGTTCCTCAGGTCTTCCTCCCTCATACTCTGAGAGCATACAAAGCGTGCCAGGGGATGCAGAGGCCAGAGAGGGAAACGGACTGATGTCACTACATTAAAAAGCATACAGCACTGCATCTTTTCAAGTATATCTATGTTTAACTGGTCAGCACAGTACTCAAACCTAGCCCATTTTCTGAGGCCAAATGCTGTGCCTTATTCTGCCCCTGACTTGGGCTCATGTCCCCTCTGGAAGTCTTAGATGCATGGGAAAAACAGTTTTCATCTGAGTGGAAACTGGCTGCTGGGCAGATGCAGAGCCAGCACCTTTAACAGGAGCAGGCCAGCACCCTCCAGTACCTTTCTGTTTCTGTAAGAAGTCAATGGTCCTTTGCAGTATTGTGGACTTGTCCATCTTGAGAGGGTGGCCGTGACCCTGCAGCATCGTGCAAAGCTCTTTAATGAGGACATTGAACTGGTCTCTCCTCTTCTTTTCAGATTTGTTGCGTGATGCCCTGGGTGACAGAAATATAAACGCTGCTAAGTAAAATGAAGGACCTACAGCTCGACCCAGGGAGAGGTAAATGGCTCTGCACCAGCAAAACACTTTAAATACAAGAATCTAAACCCTGCTAGGACTGCTTGTTTGTTTAAAATTTGACTTGGGCATAAGTGCCTTGCTGCTGCTTAGAGCCTTGCAGCAGGACTGAACTCACCGTCAGCAAGCAACACCTGGAGGTAACAAATACCATTTACATTCATCTGAGCAAGACCATACCCTTACGTACATTTCAGCAGCAGTTCTCATTGTTTTGAAGACAGTAATAATGATGTGCAGGTGTTATGGGCGAAATTTCTCCAGTAAGAGAAGTCCTAGCACCTACATGCTCATGTTTTGCCCACCTAATTTTTATGAACTTCTGTTTTGCAGTTAGTACACACACATATAAAGGTCAAAATGCGAAGGATTCCTTATTCCCTGATTTGTACTTGCAAAAGTAGCTTATCGAGAGGGAATACTGCACAGAGACAACTCAACTGCAGAATAAAGTCAAGCACACGCTCTGTATCTGGTTTTGAAAAGCTGCTGCCATGATATATGAAACTGGAAATGTTAAGAGTCCGGCTGCGGAAACCACAGACTAGTTTCCAGCTTGCATTAATACAATTTAAGAATGTTTTATTAGGGTTTTCCCCTCCATTAAACCAATAAAGGAGAAAGCAAATCCATTCAGTTTCTTCCAAAATGTTCTTTCCAATGCTCATATCTGAGATAACCCTATTTTCATACAACCCCTTCCAGTAGTAATTAATCTTCTTTACAAGTGTATTCATGATGATACATGCTTCCTGTGATCTAGACTGAGCGTGGTATGCTGAAAGCATTTCCATTCATATTCAAGTTGGCATTTGGATGCTCTCAGATGCAGCATTTACTTTCACAGCCATCTCTGTTTTGGCACTTGTGTATGATGACTACTTGGAACTGAGCCAAATGCTTCTCTGAAGACAGACTAACTCATACCTGTGCTAAAGCAGGACTGCTCTCTAAGTTTCACAGGGAACTCTACCCCAGGTGGGCAGCAATGCATGATGCCAATAAAATCACAGGTCAGGAGTCCTGCATCAAGATAATAAATATCCATGGGATAACATGAGATTCTGAGGGCACAACATAATTTAAGGACCACTCAGCTGATTAACTCATTGTAGGGATGGTCAAACACACTATGAGAAGCTTGAAAATGGTGACTTAATTAAGCTATTTGTGGTCTGCTATACACAGCCTGTAAACTGCATGGGGATTTTGTCTTTGACATCAGTGGCCCCAAGTATTTTTTGAAGTATCAGATGACACAGCATTTACAATTCTCCCCAAAGAGAGTTTCTACTCTCAGCGTCCTGTACTTCCCTTCATACCTCTTTGCCCTGTCCTTCTCATCTTCATCCATCAGTTCGTTTACACAACACAGGGCTCTGGAAAGAAAAGACAGAAGTACTTACTGAGACATATTCCCTGATCTTGTTGAGGATGTCAGAATGTGGAGCTTACAGGTTTGTACTCTGTGACCTTCTGATGTTTCAATCTTCCCTTTCCCAAACACCACTCTTGTTACGTAGTTTCTTGCTTGTTTTGTCAGCTACTGAGGATTGTGGAATGGAATATTTGCTATATATCCAAACAGACAGCTACAATAAGTGTGACTTTAGAGGGAAAGAGCTAAGAGCCAGCAGCCCCTCAGCCTGACTCTGCATTCCTCCCTGCCACAGGATGGGGAACCCTGCCAAAGCACTGAACTCTGCACAGGAATCAATGATTCCTCTGTAAATCTGCACAGGACTCAGCATCTTCCCTGCAAATGTGAGAGCTGATTTGACTCTGCTGCCTGTACCAGGCAGCACTGTGCCTGGTCCTGTCTTGGGAAATCAAACATACTGCTGGTTGATTTCAAGCATTGTGATGCTTGAAAAGCATCTCAGATTTCTTTCCCAGTGGAAGGGCATAGAAGAAAGAAGATAAAACTGTGCTAATCCCCCGAAGGACTAGTACTAGGCAACAGCAGGGTACTATCAGGACATCTAAGAGATGATATGATAGACAGGTTCATCCAAAGCATCCTGCCCCCAATGACTTGCACTGGTGGACTTACACCACATCATCTGAGCTGTGTTCCAAGACTTCAAGCTAAAACTTCCTCACCTGGCACTCACCAGGGAAAAGAAGGGAATGTGACCTGGGTTCTCTATGCTCCTGCACCATAACAGTCATTGTAGACTGCTGTCTTTACTTATCTTCACCGTTCCTGCTGGCAACACCTCCCTGTAATGACATGGTACTGTCAAGCCCCATGGAATGATGGAAAATTCAACATGAGGGTGACTTCTTCACTGGTGACTTGCTTTCTATGATTCAGACAGGCTAAGTTTCAGAGATGCAGAGCCAGGGAGATGCAGGCAAGCCAGCTACTGTCACTCCAGACTGCCCCACAACTGATAGGAAGTCAGTGATGCTGCTCACAGTAAAAGCTACAAAAATTTACCCTTCCTTTCCTGCTCCAAGGCAAGGATCTCACTCCCTGCAGATGACATGGGCAGAAGAAACTGTATGATTTCTTTTGTCCCAAAATATCAATGCACTCCATGGGGAGGGAGTGATTCTCATTGCCTGAGTCAATGAAAGCTACAAGCCAAATTAGAAATTACCTGTTCTATTCCTCAGATTCATCAGTCCAGACTGTCGGAGTGGGGTTAGCACTTCTTATCACCATGTAAATAGAGACAGAGAAAAATTAATCCTGGAAGGAAAAGCAAATCCAGTTAAAACACACCTGCAGGCAAGACTTAGCATAGAGAACAGCAATCACTTAAAACTGAAAAAGTGCACCACCATAAATTAGAAACGTGCTCAAGTATAACTGGTGAAAGATCAGCAAAGCCCCCATGAACAGGAGCTGGACCGCGTTCTGGGGCTCCCGGCTCTGTGTATACCACTGGCTGCTGCAGAAGAAGCCTGGGAAGGCCAGCTTGACCTCTTGTGTCCAAAAAGCCATGTGGCTCAGCAGGGTGAAGGAATGGCCCTACTAGATGGGGCCACTGAGGATCAATCTGAGTCCTTTCAAAGTATGACAGTTTACATGGCATGCACGCTATGAAAACCAGCGAGTATGATCTATACTTCACCTACCCAATCTTGTAACCAAATACCTCCTTTGAGATGAAAACGATCAGCTAAAGTCAGCACAAGCCACAACCACCCACCTGCAGATGGATTTAGGGCCTCCCATTAAGATTTGCTACTGACAGGGGACACATATCTCCTTTTTGTTTGTGAATTAAACAGTTACTAATGAACACTCTAAACTCCTGACTATCCAAACCACAGTGCTCATCTCTCTGAAACCATTGCTCTTGAAACTTGTTTGGCCCCAGATGAGCCTCATTCTCAGGAAGGACACAGATGCAACCAGACTGTCCATGACTGACAGCAATATCTTCAACAACAGCCAAGTGCTGGGCTTCCAAATTTAACAAGCTTTTAATGCCTTTGAAGTAATCTCCCCGCTTTGTACTCAGGTTCATGGCTGTTTCTCCCATTACCATTAGTTCCAGTATCAGCTCAAGACACTGTAAAAAAACTCACTGCCACTACCAGAGATTACATATTTGTAACCACGGACAATGAGCAAACCCCTGACATTTTTGATCATCTAAAGGACTAGCAAGAGCTTGTTTGTTTCTCCCACTAGTGAAAACACCTCAGAGGGAAGGAAACACAAGAAGGTGGGAAAAGAACTACTGCAAGGCCACTGCTAACCACCACGAGTCACACAGATCCCAACCAGCAATATGGTGAGAGTGCTTTATAGGGGAGGTTTATATGAGTGACATGAGACAATGGGCCAAATTCCTGCTCATTGCAACTAAATTAAATTATGTCAGTCCATTTGCTCCAAAAAAATTGGCTCAGATGAAGTGTGATAGTCATTGTAAACAGTAATATGGAAGTTACCTGCATAGGCTTGAACCTCCCAACACAACAGAAGTACAAGAGTAACATATAAAATACCTAACATGTTTCAACAGTAAGTGAATCAGTAAAAAATGCAGTTGGGATGAAGTGATCATTTTCGGTTTGGAACATGAACTTCCAGGGAAAATCTCACACAACTCCTGATATCCTCAGTGAAGCTGCAACTGAAAACACCACCTGCATAGCAAGGTTAAACACAGTGGATCCGCTATGCTTCTGTTCTCACAGTTGTAATACACTGGTCAAGTTACAAGCTTTTATCCTAGTTCAAAAGGAGTGTGTGATCTTATTTGTTACCCTATTGAGCTGAGGTGCTTATCTTAATCACTGCTGCTCATTGGTCAGTGCTGTTTTAGTAAACCCATACAGCTGTTTCTCCTCTAGAAGAATGACCTATACAGAAGTTTTGCTAACTTGTAATAATTTCAGAGATATGCAGGTATAAAGAAAATTATTTTTAAAGCAATGGCTTAAATTATAAAAAATGCTTGTGAATACACAAACAGATCTATAACAATTTATCAAGAAACATTTTTTCTATATGGGCTTTAGTATGCAAAAATTCAGCCAAACAAAAGATTTCTTCCTGAGCTTTGAGTGCAAAGCTTTATGCAGAAACCTTCACATTGCCTTGCCCATAGGTTGTCTAACAACTGAAAGTTCCTGGGAAGCCTGATGGGTCTTCTGCCTTGTACACGTGGGTGCCCTCCCAGCCAGCTTGAATAGCAGTAAGTTGAGGGATGCTGTTTGGTCACTGAGAGACAACAGTCCAAATTGGGAAATGAAGCTCAGAATCTCCAGTCTTCAGCAGCAGCTATCATATCCCGCTGCAGTACAGCTGATGCGAGCTGCAAGGGGCAGAGGAATGAGGCTTCCCAGGTCTGTCCCAATGGGACATCCCTAATGAACATGAGAGATGTCCTTAGTCAACACCAGACTTCAAGGCTCTAACAGAATAAATGGCCATAAAAGAATTCACAGGCCCAAACACACAGAAAAGCTTTTTGCATGATGCAGCAGGATGGTGAGCTACAAAAAGTCTCAGCAGAAGACACCTAAGGACAAAATATTCTTAGCTGGATTAAGCACTTCAGGACTACATTTAGCTAAGTGCTTTTTGTCTTGTTATGAGCCAGAGCCAAATATAGTAACCAGAATACTTAAGAATAGTTTCATAAGGGTTGTATACACTCCTCAGCAAGATAAGGCACTTAGCACTACTGACAGCAGTACGTCTGCATGTTAAGAGTATTTTAAATAGCTCCAGATATAATCTCTTTGACCTAACCTGCATTAACCAGAGGGATCAAAATTTATTTATTGCCTCCTGAAAATCCCCTCCTGCAACACTTGGAGAGAAGGATTCATGAACTCAGTGGGCAGGTAAAGAAAGAGGACACTTGTCAGTGCTGCTACCATCGTTTTTCACCCCACCTACAACAGATGAAGATCAGCTTTCTCACCAAGAAACGCACATCCATAATTGCCCAAACGCCCTCTGTAAAGGGAAAAGATTTTTTTCTTCCCTTGTACAGGGAGTATCAAAAAACACTCATAGCATTTTAAGGGCAAGTTATATTTTAAACTTTTCAAATATCACAGTATTTGAAGTTGTTTCCAGGGTTACAGAAAGGGTAATGTAGTATGACAGCTTAACAAGACAAATGGACTTATCAGACACATAGCTAATAGTTAAAGCACTATTCCATGCTATCTGTCTGCAATATTCTGGCACATTTGTTACTGAGGAGAGAATGGGAGATGGAATTTAAAAAAAATTCTTTGTTTTCCACAACTGTCTGATTGCAGGAGCAGTCTAAAACTGCAAACTTTTGACTAAAGAAAACGTTTATTTATTGGCTTGCTGCAAATCATCAAAACATTAACATTACCTTAGCATAAATCTTAATGGAACATCACATTAGTAAGAATTATCCACTGAAACCAATAGTTCCTATGAATGCTTCATTATAGCTTAAATTTTAATTATTTGGTTATGTCACTGATGGCAAAGCAAAGATCACTGAGTGTAATGCTGCACATTTCTTTGTGATCAGAACCAAATAAAGCTTTCGTAAGTCACCTAAAAAGGGTCCTGAGCCCAGCTAATTTGATTGTTTTTCCCAACTATATCAATGGGTCTAATTAAAAACATTCTCTATGCATAAAAACTTTGTTGTGCTTGTATCTAAATTTTCATCAAATTTTGCATTTGAGTAATGTACAGCAGTTAGGGAGTCTTCAAATCTATACTGTAGGAAGTATTTTAATTATGGAAATGTGCTGTGCTAATAATTTCCACAGATTTTACATGCAACGAATTCAGCAGAGAGCCCTCAATTACAAGATGCAGCACTTTGTGGCACAATGCAGTCATAAATAAGAGAGTTAATGCATTCTCCAGCAATACGATTTATATGTCAATATGCCAGTGTTTCATTCTTCTTGAGGCAACAGGAGGACATGACTGCAGCTGACAGCTAAACAGCTGATTTAATTTTTAAAAGGCAGAATTTAACCTTTTCAGTAAAGTGCTACTGTTTCAATTATAAGATGCTAATGTAAATGACATTTTAAAAACCGAGCAGTGACTCTGAGTGATCACCACTTCCATTCACGCCCCAGAGCCTGGGAGCCCCGTCCCGTGCTGCCCGCCACGGAGCCGCTCGGGCACTCGCCCATGGCACAGAGCACGGAGGAAAGCCACGGCAGCGGCTCTCGCCACCTGCCACCGCAGGGGTCTTTCTCTTACGCTGAACAGACTTGATGACAAAGTTACCCACTTTTGGGACAAATGTTTCTGGACAGGCTTTGTCCCGACGCTACAGCAAGCGGGCAACAGCAGCAGCAGCTGCTCCGTACGCCTGCGGCACCACCCGCTGCCGAAGCACCCACCCGGCGTGACAGCACGACACAGGAATGCACGGACTGAAACAGATACAGCAAAGGAGTTGCATCTCCGCGTTATCTGACCTCCTTGCATTTTACCCTCTCCTTTCCTAGGTATGCCTTGCCTTCTGTTGTTTTTCACTCTTTCCTGCTCTTCTTTCACTTACCCCCTTACTCAACATCCATTGGTTTGCAATTCAGAGAACTGGATCTTTCTTGAATGTGGTTTCTCTTCATCTTGCTGTTTCTTATGTCATCCGCCTTCATCTTTTCAACGCTTTTTCTTCTCTGTGTTCTTCACTTTCCTCTTCTCAAAAGAGGAAAAAAACATTCTAATGACCTCAGTAGTGACAATCAATCAGCCATTTAACCCTGGGAACTCTTGGGCTTGCCCAGGTCTGGGGCATGCATCACTACTGAATTCTGTTTAGGGACACATCACCTTAGGGATCATGCTGGTGTGGATCAGGTGGGAGCCTTCAGTGTGGTCAGCTCCCACATCACCTTGGTCCAGGTGCATTGGGTCCTGTCCTGCCTGATAGCTCCTAGTTCCAGTTTCAGACCCTTTGCCTCTTTGGAGGAACTGGAATCCCCTTCAGTTCAGTAGCAGAGCTGTGCAGCTCCATCCTTTATAGAAACACCACCCTACATCCCCCCCATGAGACGGCCGAGGGAAACAGTCCCACGCAGCACACTCCCCTGTGGCAGCTAACACACACACACACCTTCATTCTTCGGGGGTGCCAAGGCAGGGTGACATACCATGACTGTACCTGTATTTTCACACAGCATCTTTGTTTACTGGAACATGGGTAGTGGTGGTAAATTGGTGAGGGAATGAAATATTCTGCGTCCTCTTTTGTTAATCTGTCAGAA